TCCTGCTGGTTCAACCACTCCTCCAGAGGAAAGGGCAATGGTATCACAAGCTAGCAGTCATCCCATGCCAAGAGCGCTGGTGTCCTTACCTTTGTGTTTCTGGAGCTTGGCCCTCCCTTCCCTACTTCCTATACTGACCCATTAAAGTGATCAATTGGTAATACAGACATGCTTGGGTGTGTTGCTGGTGTGAGTCTACTGCATTTTGTAAAAGGAAATATTCCCCAAAAGCTCTTCTGTCACTTAAATATATATATATGATTGAAAGAAATTTGAGATACTTTTGTTTACACAAAACCACTGAATTTATGTCTATGATAAATTTCAATAAGCATCTATCAAGTGTTTACGCTGTGCTACAATGTGCACTACACTAGGCACCATGGACAGAAGACAAACAGGATCTGATTCCCGTCCTCAAGAAGCCAAAAATCCAGTAGATACTGTCAACTATTTAAGACATATGATGGCAACTACTTCCATAGCGTGTATATAAACGTCTACTGAAAAGTGGAGGGTCTAGACCTATTGAGAAGGAACAGGGGATGAGACCAGTGCTCACGGTGACAGGCATTCTCACTTATTCCCCCCACAGTTCTAGGAGGCAGGGCTATTATTATATCCCCTTAAAAAGAAGAGGACGCTCAAGCACAGTGGCCAAGTGACCTGCCTGAGATCTCCCATCACGGAAGTGAGTTACGGATTAGGCTGCGAACAATAATAACGTCAAACTTGGGTACACAGAATAGAGAGGTACAAATAAACACAAATATGTGAGCCTCATGCAGAAACCCTTATAGTATTATTACCTAAACTACTTAATATGGTAGCATTAAAAAAAGGTCTGCATTTTAAAGAAAATGTTCTATTTTTATACTTTACCTTCAGATCCACTGCAGAAATAAGACAAGACACAGCCATCAGCAAATCAAACAAACATAAAAATCCATATCCCTCTTCTTGGATAGATACTTCCTGGAGCACATATGTTAGCAATACCATCTATCTGACAGAATTATTTTCTTACTAAATCGTGGAATGTCTCCTCTGATAATTACTACAAGGGAGATGGGCAAAGTGGCTGATGAGCTTTGCCAGCTGTTTTCTAGACACTAGGGCAGCTTCAGAATATTTTTCTCATCCATTGTTAAATGACATTTTGAGACAATCATGGGAGCAGAAACCATAGCTTTGGATCCAAGCTGGTGCCCAAGTCACTGATATGAGATTATTCTGTTTAAAAAAAAAAAAAAAGAAAGAAAAAGAAAACAAAGAGGAAAGAAAAAGAGCAACACTAAGGTTTTTTAAAAAATGAAAAAAGGGATCCTCCACTCCCCTAACTCAACTGTGAAAAAGAAACACTGGCACTTCTTTGAACGCTTACTGAAAAAGGACAGCAGCTTTCCTCGTGCCACTGCATTTTCTGCTGCTGACAGCATTGGGTCTCTATTTTCGGGTTTCTGAGTCTCTCGCTGGCCATCTGGACCACACTCTTCCCAGCAAACCCTTCCTACTGAAGGCCTGTTGTGCAGGGAGAACCCACCCTGTGCTCGGGACCAGTGGAGGCTTTGCTCTTTGCTGCCTGGTCACAGGCTCTCTGCTCGGATCATGTTTTGATTGATGAATCTGTGAAGTTCCACCCTCCAGGTTCCACCCAGGAAGCCAGACCTTCAGCTGGGGCCACCCCCAAAGAGCAGCCACTGTGGCGGGAGTTTCAAGCTAACCAGCCTAGGGAGTGACTTCTGAGACAGGGCTCCCAACCCCCATCACACATAAAAAACTTCACTATCTGTTTTGTTGGAATATATGGGTAAATGTTAGTTAAAAAAAAAAAAAGTTCATCTAAAATCATGGAAAGCTACAAAGTGGAAAGTGAAAAATCACCCATAAACCCATCCCTCAGAGATAACCATGACTACCATTTGGTGTATAACCCAAATGACTATTTTTATGTCCTTCTATCTTTCCATCTAGCTAGCTGTTTGCCTATCCATTTCTTCATTTATATACAAAAGAGAAATATATGAAATATTTTCTTTACAAAAATGACGTCACATAGATACACTTTCTCCTCCTTACCAATACAGTGAGCTCACCTTCCTAAGTGAGTACACAGAGACCTACATCATGATTGTTGAGAATCGCATGGTAGGCTAGTGAGAGAAAACTGTAATCTATTTAACTAAAGGTGACTAGAGTTTTTTTTAAAAAATCAACTTTTTATTCTATAAGCAAGGCTGAAAATTTCCTGAAAATCAAATAAAAACTTAGCAATACTCTATGATGACACAGTATGTATAACAATACACTAACCATTACCAATAAGTAAAGGTTTTTGAAAGATGTTAATTATGACTCTATTTAGAATTCTGAAAAAACAGAAGAGAGAGAAGAAAAAGGTGAAAATGAAGTTAAAGAAAGCTAAACAGGGCTTCCCTGGTGGTGCAGTGGTTGAGAGTCCGTCCGCCTGCCGATGCAGGGGACACGGGTTCGTGCCCCGGTCCGGGAAGATGCCACATGCCGCGGAGCGGCTGGGCCCGTGAGCCATGGCCGCTGAGCCTGCGTGTCCAGAGCCTGTGCTCCGCAACGGGGGAGGCCACAACAGTGAGAGGCCCGCGTACCGCAAAAAAAAAAAAAAGAAAGCTAAACAGCCATTCTGAATTCTAGGTAAACTTATATAGTTACTTTGAAATGCATTTTTTTCAAGTAAAAAAATCAGACTGAAAGGCACTAAGGTATAGAATAGTTACTGGCTGGCTCTTGGCTCTTCTTCTCATTTCATTATCTTTTAATACCCTCAGCTCTGTCTCCTTCCCAGAATTTTCCCAGAGAAATTGTAAAACACACGTCCCTAGCAAAGGAAATCGTGTCATGGGTTCAGCAGTGA